GTTCCACATGAAAGGGTCGTGATAGATTGAGAGCACATGTGGTTAGAGTGGGGGGTTTAATCTTTTAACCTCAGGCCTGGTCATCAATGGCACTGGCTGGTCTTGCCACTGACTTAATTCCTGTTGTTTTTCAACTTTTTCTTCCTCCTCCTCTTCAGAGACAGGAGACAGTAAGAGAAATAGTTCTCTCCTCATTGCTTTGCTCTATTCTTCATCTTTGCCTTTTCTTTCCCCGGCTTTTGCTAACCCATTCATTGTCCTTAAAACTGGGTCCTATTTTCAGATATAAATTGGAGCAGAATCCATATTTTGGGGGTGAAGGGGTGAGTGAATGACAGGGGATATTGAAGACAACAGAACTGGAAGATATACTGACCCCACAAATGACAGTTTTATATTTTGAAGAAATAGCTAAAAGAATAGGCTCAAAGCAGCTGAAATAGCTCAGTTGGGAGAGCGTTAGACTGAAGATCTAAAGGTCCCTGGTTCAATCCTGGGTTTCGGCAGGTTTCTTTTTTCAGTTTTAGTTTTACTAATAGAACTCTTATTTTTATTTATTTATTTATTTTTTCTCGGAGTTTCACTCTTGTTGTCCAGGATGGAGTGCAATGGAGCGAACTCGGCTCACTGCAACCTCCACCTCCTGGGTTCAAGCGATTCTCCCGCCTCAGCCTCCTGAATAGCTGGGATTACAGGCAGGCACCACCACGCCTGGCTAATTTTGTATTTTTAGTACAGACGGACTTTCTCCGTGTTGGTCAGGCTGGTCTCAAACTCCCGACCTCAGGTGATCCCCCAGCCTCGCCTCCCAAAGGGCTGGGATTACAGACGTTAGCCACAGCGCCCAGCTAATACAACCCTTATACAACACTTGCATGCCAATACCAGAAGGGTGTATAGAACTCCAATTTTTTGCTGTTGAAAATCCGATAAAGGTAATACACACACACACACACGTGTGTGTATATACGTGTATATATATATATGCATGTATATATGCATCACTCTCTCCTTTGGTTTCATATTCCACTGAAGTCTTCCATGAAGCGCTGACATTAAATAAATTATTTAAAGTCTTAAACCTAGGAAGTGATTTTTTTTTTTTTTTTTTTTTTTTTTGAGATTGAGTTTTCCTCAGGCGCCCAGGCTGGAGTGCAGTGGCACGATCTCGGCTCACTGCAACCTCCGCCTCCCGGGTTCAAGGATTCTCCTGCCTCAGTAGCTGGGATTACAGGCGCCTTCCATTTCATGTCGTATACAGTATTCTAAATAATTTATATCCCCTAGTAGTACCGAGGATCTTCTACTCACAGCCGCTGCAGACGCTCCATAATACTCAGAAAAAGAAAGCTACCTCCTGAAAATTATTACAACAAGGTTTATCAGGAAGGGGGTGTAGCTCAGTGGTAGAGCGCATGCTTTGCATGCATGAGGCCCCGGGTTCGATCCCCAGCACCTCCAAACGTTGGTTTTGCTATGGCAGTGTTCAAACCTAATTCTCAAGCAAGTTAGACTCCGAATTCTCAAGCAACGTAGACTTCTGCCTCTGCACCTTTTTCTATCCTATTTCTGCACATATAGAGAGTAAAGACGTAACCCAATGGGTTGCCTCCATTTATAACCAATCTCTATGCTGTGAGCTTCGACGTCACCGAAGGCGATTGCCACAGCCGAAGGAAGGTGAAAAAGAAATGAGGAAGAAAGAATGGGATCCCAACAGGGCCTCTTGAACCTAAACAAAAGACTGCACATCCACGGGCAGTTCACATTCTCTCTCACTTTGTACTATGATTAAAGAGAAGGAAAGACAAAGAAGAAGAAGGGAGAAAAACGCCGCGCGGCCTTTTTTTTTTTTTTTTTTTTTTTTTGAGACGGAGTCTCTCTCTGTAGCCCAGGCTGGAGTGTAGTGGCGCGATCTCCGCTCACTGCAACCTCTGCCTCCCGGGTTCGAGTGATTCTCCTGCCTCAGCAGCTGGGATTACAGGCGTGTGCCATCACGCCTGGGTAATTTTTGTATTTTTAGTAGAGACGGGATTACATCATGTTGGCCATGCTGGTCTCGAACTCCAGACCTCAGGTGATCCACCCGCCACAGTTTCCCAAAATGCTGGGATTACAGGCGTGAGCCACCGCTCCCAGCGTCATCTTTTTTTTTTACATTAGTTTTGTTTTCTGGGCCAAAGAACAGAGTGAAAGCATCTATCCACTGATTTCTCCTACAGTCTCTCCCTGTCAACCTGCGCAGAGAGCACAGCCACAAGTATGATCCAATACTGAGACAACGACTGCTGTGGCTCTCCAGCCGCTTGAGGTGGGAGTGGAAGGATACTGAATGACCGAATGAAGACTGTCGCGGAATTAGAGGCCTTCCACATGCTAGGAGCAGAAACCAATATGGATCAACATTCCGTACTGATATTCCATACAGTTGATTCATTTTCCTGTATTTCTTCAACAATTCCATTTCCTTGTTAAAATAAAACATTGCCTGGAAACTTCTGTTAACGGCCAACGGAGGACTCATATGAAAAAGTAGGAAAAGTTTTTCTGTCACAACAGAAAATAGACGCAGAGTAAAAGGTGAGTAGATCGCAGATGTGTTGAGCACTTCCTTAGGTAAAAACAAAACAAAACAAAAATTGTTTTGTTCTTTCTCGTCATTCACATCACATCTACATTGTATGACCAGGGAACTTCCAGGATTGTCCACTAATGATACCTTTTAGGGGTTTCCAATGCTGTATGTTCCAAAATTGCTGTACTCTGTGTGTAGGTTTGCTGTTGAATCAAAGCATCTTTGAGAGGCAACAGAGTATGATGTTTGTCACCATCCACCAGTCTAACACTCTATCAGGCTGGGATGTCCTTACTTCTTGATTCTTTTATCCAGTAAAAATATCCATAACCAGCTTCCAGGAGGGATACTGTCTTGTGAAACCTGCTTAGCTCAGGATTGCCTGTGTGCCCCCAGGCCAATCATATGTTTGTTTTAAGATGCATTTTTTGAAGAGGTAATGAAGACATGCCATATATTTTCTTTTCATTTCTTGTTTTTTCCCCCCTGCTATCTACTGGTTCTCTCGAGGCACTTTAAGGAAACAGTGTCATGTTTGCCACAAAGGATGCTGCACAGGAGAGCAAGGGGTGAGGGATTAGGGCGCTACTAGTGGAATGCCAAATTCCAGGCCCAACCTCAGATCTACAGAATCAGAATTGATAAGAGTGGGGCCCAGCTGCCCGTGTTGGATAAGCCCTCAAGTGACTCTGATGTTAAAGTTTGAGAAGCACTGCTCTAGAAATTTTAGAAGGAGGTCCCAGGGCCAGATGTTTGCTAAGGAGAAAGAGTTGCTCCCGGGGTTCCCTGCTATTTTCAATAAAAAAAACTCGGACCATCTAGGAAAGCCAGTGAGGTTTATATTTGCCTTACATCAGGGGTGAGAGTGAATTTGTTATCTCTTTGAGACCTTCAATATTTTAGATGACTGGAGATCACACCCAAGAGCCTTTGATTTTCCTGTAGAAGAACTCACAGGGGTTCTTTAGAGCCAGGAGACTATTTCCAGCCAAAATACCTGGAGCCCTTTCGAGCCATTTTGGCCTCTCAATTTGAAACCCAAGCTTGGAAGTTTCTAAGTTCTAAGGAAGACTCTGTAATCACTCTTTCTCCATCCTCAGGGTTGGGATTCACCCTCCTGTCTCTCCAGCCCCCACTAATTCTCCCATTGTTCTGGTCTAAGATCAAGTTGTTAAAACCCAGTCTATGTCGCTGGGGGCGGTGGCTCACACCGGTAATCCCAGCACTTTGGGAGGCCAAGTCGGGCAAATCACGAGGTCAAGAGATCAAGACCATCCTGGCCACCAGGGTGAAACCCGTCTCTACCAAAACTACAAAAATTAGCTGGGCATGGTGGCCAGGGAGGCTGAGGCAGGAAAATAAAAAATTAGCTGGGCATGGTAGCTGCGCCTGTAGTTCCAGCTACGGGGAGGCTGAGGCAGGAGAATCCTTTGAACCTGGGAAGCGGAGATTACAGTGAGCCGAGATCGCACCACTGCACTCAAGCCTGGTGACACAACGAGACTCCATCAAAAACAAAAAACAAAAACAAACAAAAAAGCACAGTCTAATGCATAAAATGTAATTAAAATATCTTTGCAGCATTAAGTAGAGAATTCCTTGTTGTTAGCAGACTGTTCCTCTTCCTCCTTGGAAGATGTTCTCTGTCTGTCCACCTTCTGCGTTTTCACATTTGTCTCTTCCTTTCCACACCTAAACCAGCGCTTTGTATTTCCACTTATCTCGAGTGGGGATACTCTTTTGTGTGGAGACCTTGACTTTCCCCACTCTTCTTGCTTCCAAGAGTTGGGTGTAGGCAATGCAGGAGCCCACTGCCAAAGTGTGGGTGATATTCTCCAGGAAGAAACCTAAATTTCAGAGGCTTGCTGATGTAGAAGAAAGCCTAGGTTATTCGATTCATAGAGCTTCGCACTGCTAGGTAGGTTGAAATCTGGACAACCTGAATTCCTTAGGAACAAGGTAGAAGTGCTTCTGAAAACCAATTTAAGTTTAAAATATACTGAGGCTCCCTGACCTTTCTTGTTTTTCACGACATATTCCAAGCTCAAGAAGTTAAACACACACACTCTCTCTCTCTCTCTCTCTCTCTCTCTCTCTCTCTCTCTTTCTCTCTCTCTCAAATACTAAAACAGAACACACTCTCCTACCTATAACAAAAGGGCTTAAGCAGGAGGGTCTCTCTTCCTGGTTCAACACTCTCCCCTTCGCGAACAGTAGGGATTGGAAATAGGCGGCTTCTCTGTCGTTTCCTCGGAAGCCACCAGTACCACCCGCCTGTACCAAAACTCAAGAGTACCCGTGATCCCGTGTCCGAGCCAGTAAAGGAGCTGCGAGGCATTCTCAATGCCGCGACTGCCTTAAGCAAAACGAGAGAGATCTCGCGGGAAAGTGTTTTCAGTTCACTTCTCCTACTGGGAATGAGCCCTCTCGCTTATGGCTGACACCGAGGAAACGCAGTGGAGATGGGCACCCGGGCTGCCCAGATCCTCTGACAGCCTCAGGCGCTCGTCCGCTTCGCTCCTCCTCCGCCTTTGCCGCCGCCGCCGCAGGTGCGCACCCCACCGCTTCCCTGCTTCCCTCCTCGCGCTCTTTTCGCAGGTGGTCCTCGTTCTCCTCTCCATCCGTCGTTTCTTGAGTCTCAGAACTGGAGCCACAGTGTCCCCAAGATGAAATCCATGCTGGATTTCAGCCACGGTGCCGGCCCAGGGGCTGGCGAGGGTAAGGACGGTCAGCGACCCACGCTCCTGGGTTTTCATTTCTAAGAGCTGGGATTTCCACTTTCTCACCTCCTTACCTGTACCTAAATCCCCCCAGGCGGTACTGACCCTTCTATTTTTGTATCCACCTACTTTACTCTCCGTGTGACAGCCCTTGAAGGCAGAAGGAAAATAATATGTAAGAAGCGAGAAGTTAAAAAAAAAAATTTTAGTTTGAAAGTATTTTAAGCCTACAGAAAAGTTGTAAAAGTAATACAAAGAACTACCATACGCTCATTACACAGATTTAGCAATTTCAAATATTTTACCACATTGATTCTTCTTTCTTTATCTGTCTCTACAAATATAAATACATACACATTTTATTTTTCCCGATCGGTTTTTTATAGTTTGCATATATCATGTATTTTTTATCTCTAGTAATTCAATGTGTACTTCCTACGAAAAAGAACATTCTCTTGTAAACCACAGTTAATTTTCAAACTCAGAAAATTAAACATTAGTACAATACTATTATTTAATATACAGTCTATATCTAAATTTCACCATGAATTCCAACATATCCTTTCCTGTTTCTTTAGTATCCTTTGATCTGAAGTGGTTTCCCAACCTTTCTTTTGTATTTTATGACATTGATTTTGAAGAATTCAAGCCAGTTGTCAGTAGAATGTCCTTCAGTTTGAGTTTTCTGATATTTCCTCAGGATTAGATTCAGGTTATGTACATTTGGCAAGAATATAATATAAGATATGTTGTGTTTTTAGTACATCGCATAAGGATTTTTTTCCCCCATTTTCGGTGATGTTAACTAAATGTAAAGTCATAATTTCCTCCCCATATAACTAGTATGTAATCTGTAAGGAAATATTTGAGGACATGCAAATATTCCATTCTTCCTCAAAGTTTTACTCATAGTTTTATGGGTTGATCAATGAATTTTGCCTTAATCGATCATTACTGTGTTGGTATCATGATATTTTAAATTTATCATTTCTTCCACATTTATTAGTTGGTATACCATGGTGCAGTAACATGTCCCCTGTCCCCCCACTTTCCTCTTCAGTAATTTATTTACTACTAGTAATGACTCAATCTTTTTTATCTAATGGATTGAAATCTTATTATTATTATTATTGTTATTATTTTATTTTTGAAACAGGGTTTCACTCTGTCACCCAGGGTGGAGTGCAGTGGCGCTATCTCGGCTCACTGCAGCCTCTGCCTCCATGTTCAAGGGACTCTCCCTTTAGCCTCCCCAGTAGCTGGGACTACAGGCTGTGCCCCCATACCCAGCTGATTTTTGTATTTTTTGTAGGCACTGGATTTTGCCATGTTGCCCAAACTGGTCTCAAACTCCTGGTCTCAAGCTATCAGCCTGCCTCAGCCTCCCACAGTGTTGGGATTAGAGGCCTGAGCCACCATGCCTGGATGTTCTTTAAAAATTATTTAATCTCAATACTCAAAGTATCCCCAGGTCATGTATCCTTTTTCTCTTTCTTTTTCTTTTTCTTTTCTTTTTTTTTTTTTTTTTTTTTTTTTTTTTTGACGGATTTTTTCTCTGTCGCCCAGGCTGGAGTGCAGTAGCGCGATCTCGGCTCGCTGCAAGCTCCACCTCCCTAGTTCACGCCATTCTCCTGCCTCAGCCTCCCTAGAAGCTGGGACTACAGGCGCCGGGCTAAGTTTTTGTATTTTTAGTAGAGACGGGATTTCACCGTCCTAGGCAGGATGGTCTCCATATTCTGACTTCGTGATCCGCCCGCCTCAGCCTCTCAAAGTGCTGGGATTACAGGCGTGAGCCACCGCGCCCGGCCTGTCATGTATCCTTTTAAAATATGCCTACATTGGCCCGGGCCCGGTGGCTCATGCCTGCAATCCCAGCACTTTGAGAGGCGGAGGTGGGTGGATCACCTGAGGCCAGGAGATGGAAACCTGCCTGGCCGACTTGGTGAAACCCTATCTCTACTAAAAATACAAAAATTAGCTGGGCATGCTGGCACGTGCCTGTAATCCCAGCTACTTGGGAGACTGAGGCAGGAGAATCGCTTGAACCCAGGAGGTGGAGGTTGCAGTGAGCCGTGAGCCGAGATCGCACCACTGCACTCCAGCCTGGGAGACAGAGCAAGAAGACCAGTGGAGTCACTTGGGGTGGGTGGGGGTGGTGGGGGATGCAGATTGTGCAGTGAAACTTTCTTGAACCTGAAGAGGGGGGGGATGAGTTGTACAGTGAAACTTTCTTGAACCTGAAGAGTCTGGTTTTTTAAAAAAACTTTTATATCACAAATTTAATTCCCTTAGTAGTTACAAGGTTATAGAAAAATATATTTCATATTGAGGGAGTTGTGGTAGTTAGTGATTTTCAAGGAATTAGTCCATCTCATCTAAGTTTTCAAATTTGTATGTAAAGTGTTGTTCATAGTATTCCTTTACTCTTTTGATGTCAGCAGAGTCTGTAGTGATATACTCCTCTTCTTATTCTTGATATTGTAATTTTCTGTAGTGATACACTCCTCTTCTTATTCTTGATATTGTAATTTGTGTCATCTCTCTTCTTAAAAATTCTCAGTCCTCCTAGAGGACTTCTTTTATTGATCTTTTAAAGGAACTAATTTTTGCTTATTTTTCCATTTTTTGTGTGTGTTCAGTTCCATTTATTTCTGCTCATTTGCTTTCTCCTATTTGCTTTGGGTTATTTTGCCCTTTTCCCCACCTGAGTTCTTCAAGTAAGAGCTTAGAGGACTGATTTGATAGTTTTTTCTTTTTTCTTTTTTTTTTGGCCAGGTTAGTCTCCAACTCCTGACCTCCTAATCCACATACCTCGGCCTCCCAAAGTGCTGGGATTACAGGTGTGAGCCACCGTGCTGACTTTTTTCTTTTCTAATGTATGCAATTAGTGCTGTAAATTTCTCTCTCAGAGCTCCTTTAAGTTGTCTTGGAAATTTTGATACATTGTGTTTTCATTTTTATTCAGGTTAATTTAGTTTTTGATCTCTACTAAGGCTTTCTCTTTGTCCTATGGACTGTTTAGTAGTGTGTTTTTCATTTTCCAAGTGTTTGGATATTTTTGTTGTCTTTCTGTGACTGGTTTTTAGTTTGATTTCATTGTGGTTAGGGATCATACCATATCAGTCACTTCTTTTAAATTTGTTGAGGCCCAAGATATGTTCTATCTTGATCTATGTTCTGTATGAATTTGAAATGAATGTGTGTTCTGCTTTTCTTGTGTGGACTGTTCTATACATGGTGCCTGAATTCTGCTGGCTGAAGATGATTTGGGGTTCTTCAATATCCTTGCAGATTTTCAGTTTATTTGTTCTTTTATTATGAAGGAAGTGAAGTCTCCAATGTAACTGAATTTGTCGATTTTTTTAGTTCTATCATTTTTTTCTGTTTTAAAAAATATTTATTTATCTATTACACTTATTTATTTATTTATTTATTTATGAGTCAGGGTCTCGCTCTGTCACCCAGGCTGGAGTGTAGTGGCACCACCTCAGCTCACTGCAACCTCCACCTCCCAGGTTCAAGCAGTTCTGGAGCCTCAGCCTCCCTAGGAGCTGGGACTGCAGGCGCACACCACCGCGCCACCATGCCCGGCTAATATTTGTATTGTTGATAGAGACGGTGTCACCATGTTGGTTTCCAACTCCTGGCCTCAGGTGATCTGCCCACCTCGGCCTCCCAAAGTGCTGAGATTACAGGCCTGAGCCACTGCGCCCTGCCTCTGTGTGTGTGTGTGTGTGTGTGTGTGTGTGTGTTTTGAGACGGAGTCTCACTTTGTTGCTCAGGCTGGAGTGCAGTGGCACGATCTCGGCTCACTGCAACCTCCGCCTCCCAGGTTCAAGCGATCCTCCTGCCTCAGCCTCCCGAGTAGCTGGGACTACAGGCACACACCACCACGCCCAGCTTTATTTTATTTTATTTTATCTTATCTTATTTTATTTTATTTTTGCATTTTTAGTAGAAATGGGGTTTCACCATATTGGTCAGGATTGTCTCGATCTCCAGACCTTGTGATCTGCCTGCCTCAGCCTCCCAAAGTGCTGGGATTACAGGCGTGAGCCACCGGGCCCTGTCCTTTTGTTTTTTTCGTTACATATGTTGCAGCTCTGTTGTTTGGTGTATACATATTTAGGATTGTTATGCCTTCTTGGTGGATTTTCTTTGTTCTGGAGTTTATATTCATATAGTCACTTTTGCTTTCTTTTGATTAATGTTTGCATGTAATATATTTTTATCCCCTTAATTTCAGACTGCTCATATAATTATATTTGAAATGCGTTTCTTTTAGACAGTGTATAGTTGGATTACGTTTTCTAATCTATTCTGTCAATCTCTCCCTCCCTCCCTCTCCATTCCTTTTTTCCTTTTGCCCTCTCTCTCTCTTTCCTTCCTTTCTTTCTCTTTCGCTCCTTCGTTCTTTCCTCCTTCCTTTCTTTTCTTTCTTCCTTTCTTTTCTTTCTATTTTTAATAGACGGGATCTTGTTTTGTTGACCAGACTGGAGTGCAGTGGCTATTCACCAGGGTAATCACAGAGCACTGGGGCTTTCAACTTTTGACCTCAAACTGTTTTCCCGCCTCCTCCTCAGCCTCCTAAGTAGCTGTAGCTGGGACTATAGATGCAGGCCACCACGCCTGGCTCATGTTTTTGTGCGTTGTGTGTGTGTGTGTGTGTTTTAACTCATCCTTCTTTTTTTTTTTTTTTTAAGACGAGTCTCGCTCTGTCTCCCAGGCTGGAGTGCAGTGGTGCCATCTCGGCTCACTGTAAGCTCCGCCTCCTGGGTTCACGCGATTCTCCTACCTCAGCCTCCCGAGTGGCTGTGACTACAGATGCCCGCCATCAAACCCGGCTAATTTTTTTGTATTTTTAGTAGAGACAGGGTTTCACTGTGTTAGCCAGGATGGTCTCGATCTCCTGACCTTGAGATCTGCCCCCCTCGGCCTCCCAAAGTGCTGGGATTACAGGCGTGAGCAACCATGCCCGGCTGAACTCATCCTTCTTTTAAAGTAGGTAAATAAAAATCATGCCTGGATGTCTGGAAATGTCAGTAAACATCAAACATCTTGCTGCCATGAAGTGCCAAACAATTTTTTTTTTTAGTGTCTAAAAAAGTGTCCCTCCTCTCAGAATAAGACAAATAGTTCCCAGATGTCTAAGGCATTTCACCTGTAGTGAAAGAGCCGCCATTTTCTCTGCTGTTTCCTGTCCATCTAATCACTTCTGGTTTTATTTTCAAGGCATTAATCAAAATTTCTGGACTACTGATGGCCCTATTTAAACGGTTTCCAGGGATGTTATAGTTTCCAACCCTACCTTTCCTGAAGACTAATAGAGAGGGAAGGGAGTTCTGTTTGTCAACTTCACTGTTTCTTTTCCTCCTTTCCTTCCTTCTATTCTTTCTCTTTTTCTCCTCTCTCTCTTTTTGCTTCTTTTCTCCAAACAAGAACAACTTCACCATTTCTTTCCCTACCGCAGCAGCCCCTCATCACCTCCTGACTCTGAGAAAGAAATTCTCTCTTTCAGATGTCTTTAGTTGATTGACTCACAAGCAAGGAGTGTGACAAGGAAAATAGAATAAAACATCTTCTAAGTTCTAATACAAATAGAGAAATTTGTATCTTTGTGTCTGCCTGGCAACATTTAAAATGAAATGGAAACCATCTGAGAAGTGTATATTGTTCAAATCTTGGAATAATTTCAGATTTTCCTCAATAACCAATCAACAACGCTGGAATACATATCATATGTATGTATTGTATAGTGTATATACATATATATCAGACACAGATTATTTCTCTAAATTATTTGATAATGATTTTCAGACATGTATTTTTATTCTTAAATAATTCAATGTATATTTCTTAAGAACAAGGTCAATTCCTTAACACAGCACAATTATCAAGTTCAGTAAATTTAACATTTATAAATGTTAATATAGTCTAATATAAAGTCTATTAAAAATTGTCTAATTGCACCAATAAAAACTTTCATAGAAATTTCTCTCCCAAGCTAGGATCTATTTCTGAATCACATGTGAATCTAATTGTCTTGACTCTTTAGTGCCCTTTAATTTGGAACAGTTTCTTAATCTTCTTGTCTTTCACAACACTGACATGTTTTTGAAGAGTTTTTCCAGTGGTTTTGTTCAACGTTTCTTAACCTGTACTAGTCATGATAAGATTACATCAGGTTATGGAAATTGGGAGAAATGTCACAGAAATCACATTATTATCCTCTCCCACCCCAAGAGGCATGAGCTGACTGAAGTTAGCTTGCTCACTTGATTTTAAGTTTGTAATTATTGTTTCTTCCCTGAAAAATTATCATTTTCCATTATAATTATAAGGGAAATACTCTGAGACTACATAAATATCCTGATCCTCATCAAAATTTTACCTGTTCTTTAACATTGACTCACAAATTTTGCCTGCATCTATCATCATTCTGATGGTGTTGTTTAAATGGGGATTTTTAAATTTTGTTCTCACTTTCACATCATTTGGCAAACCTCTGTAAGGAAAATCATCCCATCTTCCATATTTATTTGTTTAAGTTCCCAAGATTGATAATCAGTTACTGTCATCATTGATGCTTAAAGTGTGTCAGATTTGGCCAGTGAGATTCCCTTCAAGCTGGCTTCTGTGTCCTTTTAAATTACCCCCATCATTTCTGAGCACCTACATTCTGGCAAAGCAAGATATGTTAGGTTCATCTTGTAGTTTCCCTGGCACAGTCCTGGAGTCAGCGTAGTTGACATTAATTGCTATCTTCTGTTAGTATCTCTGGTTCCTTTTAGTAGGTAACGGGTTTTGAAAATTAAGGTACAGAGTTATCTGTGCTCATTGCTTCTGAGGTATCCTTTCTTCTAGGCCCAGTTAGCAGATAGATCAGTGGGGAAATTTTACAATTTCATATGTACAATTTCATACTGATGCCTCTAATTCCCACCAGGATCAACAGGACTATTCTTTACCTTCCTTCTCCCACAGTGAGAATCTGGTTCCAACACAGACACTCGGTTTCCCAATCCTAAAATTCACACAAAATACCAGAATTGCTACAGCCTTCACTCTTTAAAAAATAATCCTGATACATAGAGTTTAAGATTTGTTTGGTGTTCTTTTTGATATTACAATTAGAACAACAATCTGTGTAAACCATATTTTTTAGATCAGTTCTTTCCGCTTCAATGTGGTTATGTGATTCTTTTGAAATGCAGTTAATTTGCCTCTATTTGTATTGAATTTTAGGGTATTTTCACACACACATGAAACACTAACATGCTCCCCAGAGTCAAAAGAAAAGAAGTTATAATCAGAAAATTTGCAAGAGAATGTTGCATGCTGGGAGTCACTCAAGGGATAGAACGGAAGTATGCGCCAGAAAGTCTAATATGATGGGGAGACCACTTTGGGGTGAGTTGATCTTGGACTGACCACAAATCAGGAACAATGCCTTTCTTTTTACCACTAAGATATCTGTCTCCTGGTGTAGCCATGCCCGTGAGAGAGTGCGAACTTAGTGTCGGGAATTCATAAACAGTGGAATTGGAAACACAGTGATTGTCATGATGACATAGAGCACAGACTCAGACAATGGCGATCACCGCAACTGGAAGAAGTTCTCCATGATATTCCCCACCTATTTAGGGTGAATTGTGTTGGCTTCTGCATTTCTCTCTCATACAGGGAGGTAATTCGTGTTCATTCACTTACAGTTATTTGTTGCTTAGGATTATCCACCTAAGTAGTTACACAAATCACTAACGTGGATCACGCACTATAGAAGCAAGTAGTATTCCTTGCCATCCAGCCGATTTCCAGCTTAAATGAAATTTTCAGACTCCATGGAATTCTGTGACCTAAGTCTGATTTCAGATCAGAAGGTTAAGGCTCAAGTTCTTTTGTGTTTCTTTCTTTCTTCTAACTGCGTCCTCACCCAGGTTGCAAAAGTCCTGCAAGTTTTCACCAAAAGATTCCACTACCAGTAGTTGATGATTGCTGGTGACGTGCTGGTGGTCACTTTTTCTGTTAGAGACCCACAAACTCAAACTTAATCCAAACTATTTAGCTACAAACATAACGACAAATAACCAACACAATGACAAATGAGAAAAATCTCAATCACCTCAGCTGAAATTTGGCAGGGAGAAAATTACTTCTCTGAGTTCTTTAAGGAAGTTTCTGGTCTGAAATGTCAAGCTCTCTGAACTCCAGAGTCCAAGATCCATCTAGGGTAAAAGCTGTTTTTTTGTTTTTTTGTTTTTGTTTTTTAAATAAATAAAAATAATGAGCTTTTATTCTCCCAATCCCAATGGATCTTTTTCTACCTCACTGTACTTACTCTCCAGGAATAACTTCCTTCTTGGCTACTGAACAACCCGTAACTCCAGATTAGAACTCTTCGCACAATTTCTAATTCTGATATCACAGTGCTAAGCAGAAATTCACAGGGGGATACTTGGCAAACATCTTGACACTGTTTTGTTAAAAGAAAATCTCCTTTTATTTTCAGCTCTATTTCTTCAAAGGATTAAAAATTAAGTTACTGAACACCTAGAAGGCAGAAAAGCAGCCTCTTTCTCCATTTGCAGAAGCCAAGCAACCCGGTGGGGCTTCTGTATGCATCATCTCTTTTACTCACTTTCTAAACGCTGTAACCGTCCACCATCTACCAGGCGACCACAAGCCATCCCTAAAGTCAATTTTGAGGTTAACTCACTCGACTTGAGAGGGATTCACCTGTACCACCTCTGCAGCTGTAATGTGAGAAATAAACTCAAACATCCAAACCCAAAGAATGGACTCAGAGACCCGGAGAACAACGAAAGTGAGACTTTTAATGACGGTCTTGCGAGATCAAGATCGGGTGTCGGGCATGCAGGCACACCCAGAAGTTTCAACAAGCAATTTAGCCCCTAGTGCGCAAGTCCCTCCCCCAGTTCCTCATAGGCTGAGTGCTATGGGGTTACAATTTTCTCGGAGTTTGCCTATTGATTGTTAGGCAAGGGCTTTAGGTGTTTCTTTTTTAGGGTTGTCTTGCTGCATTTTGTTGCAGCCCACAATGCATTGCAATCCTGGTTAGCTCAGGGGTTCTTTAAGTATTTGACTTACGACCTAAGTAGCTGGGCAGGCTGATAAGAACAGAGAAAGTGAGCTATTTTGCAGACTAGTAAACTTATATCTTAGACTAAACTGTTTTCGTTTCGGTGAGAGCAACTAAGGATCGGGAGAAGGGGGAGGAAAGAGGTGGGGGGCGACAAGCAGGCATCCACTATCCAAGCAGGGGCCTAGTATATCCGGTTTCTTCTGTACTTTGCTGACTTAAGCCGATTTAAGGCACTTTGTCTTGGAAATGGACCACTGTATACATTATTTCCTTCAGTAATAGGACTAAGGAAACGGTGGCTGCACTTGCATTTATCACGGATTGTACAGCGACTTAGCCTTTCCGCAGCCGCTGTCCGGCTCTGCAGAGTCCCTTTGAGAAAAGAGCTGGACAAGAGGAGTAAAGGAGCTCCTTGCAAATGCCAGGAGGAGTTTCTTCAGGAGTAAAGTTGGCTTTCCATAGGCTTCTAAGAGAAATATGTGGAGCAAACAAATGGGCACTTTCTTTCTCATCTTTTGCATTTCAGGCAAAAGCTAATAAAATTAGATGTTTCCACCGTCGTGCTTAGTCTCAAAGCTGCCGGTAGATTCCGCTTCTAACTTTCCACACAGGCACACAGGAAATCTGGAAATCACTGCAACTCCCTCAGAAGCTCCAGTATCAGCATTTCCTGAAACAAAAATCAAAATGCGACCTTACGTGCGTACCCAAAGAGCTCAGCTGGTCTGTCCAGCAACGGAAAGAGCGGTGAGGCGCTCTTGAAGCTGTGACAGCCTGGGCGAAACGAACCAGGTCCCTTTCCTGGTCGAGCCTCCCCCGCTACAGACAAAAAGGAACCTCTCTTCCCTCTTATCCAGAGGAAGGGACGGAGAGATGTGGTGCTTAGACTCACTCTACCATCCAGTTCATCCAAGTCCTAATAATCTTGAGGATGCTTTTCCTGGCCCTCTATCCCTCTCCCTTTTGTCCTTTTCTTCCTCCACTTCACGGCACCCCGCCACTTCCCTCTCCCCGCAAGCTGCTCGGCTCCTCCCGTTTACTTTTTTTTTTTTTTTTGGTGAGACTGAGTGTCGCTCTGTCACCCAGGTTGGAGTGCAGTGGCGCGATCTCGGTTTACTGCAACCTCTACCTCCCGGGATCAAGAGATTCTCCTGCCTCAGTCTCCGGATTAGCTGAGATTACAGGAGCTCGCCACCACGCCCGGCTAATTTTTGTATTTTTAGTAGGGACTGAGTTTCACCATTTTCAGTAGGTTAGTCTCCAACTCCTCATCTTAAGTGATGCGTCCGCCTAGGCCTCCTAAAGTGCTGGGATTATAGGCGTGAGCCACTGCGTCCAGTTTTCAGAACGAAATTTTCACAATAGTGCAGCGCACTCCTAGACCCGTTTACGCACATTTTAAACTATGTGTTGTGTTTCATATGTAGCTGCTATTTTAATTTCCACATCACTTTCTTTTTTTCCTTCTCTGTATGCTCAGCTTTAAACATTTTTGCAGCATAGGCTGAGGCTGCGCCCAGCTGGGGAGAGACGCGTGACGGGGATAAACCTAGAGAAGAGGAATGTTTCCTGTCTGAGAAGGCTCAGACCTTACAAGGGAAGAAAAAAGTCTATAAGGGAATCTAAAACTTCTTTTGAGGAAATCATCGAAAAACGTATCCTAATTGACCCTCCCACTGTATTTTGGCTAAAAATAAAAAGCCTCGACTCTCAGAATAGGAGACTGAGTTTGAAAACTGTTAAGACATAGAAAGGGTTTTATTAAAATTCAGTTTGCAAGTCATCGTCGGCCTCAGCAATTTCCTCATTCCAGAGAGGGTTGTTTTTGAAATTCTGTAAACCTCTGAATTTGTTTCTCTAAGCAGAGAAGTCCAATGTTTTTCCACTTTTGACTTAACGAAAGAATTTCTTATACTGAGATATATACATTTCTGGGATTGGCGTGCAAGTGTTGTATAAGGGAGTGATAATTAGGCAGAACAACAAAAGAAACTGCCGAAACCCGGGATCGAACCAGGGACCTTTAGATCTTCAGTCTAACGCTCTCCCAACTGAGCTATTTCGGCTACTCCGTAAATGCCCCTTTAGCTATTTCTTCAAAATATAAAAACTGTCATTCGTAGAGTGAGTGTATTTTCTAATGCCTAATTCTTTTTTGTTCAATATCAATACAAAAATTAGCCAGGGGTGGTGGCACGCGCCTGTAATCCCAGCTACTCCGCGCCGTTGTACTCCAGCCTGGGCGACAGAGCCTGACTCCCTCTCCCTCGGTTAAAGTGGGAGGATCGATTGAGCCGCGGAGGTAGAGGTTGTAGCAAGCCGAGATTGCACCACTGCACTCCAGCCTAGGCAACAGAGCGGGACCCTGTCTCGAAAACAACAACAACAAAAAAGAGTTGTTATGCACCAGGGTGCAGAACACAATTTTAAAAACTCTAACGAAGAGATAGAATGTACTGGAGGACATAAGAGATCCTTCTTTCTTGTTTTTGTTTTGTTTTGTTTTGTTTTGTTTTGTTTTTTTCTAGACAATCTCCCGCTATCGCCAAGGCTGGAGTGCAGAGGTGTGATCTCGGCTTACTGCAACCGCCACCTCCCGGGTTCAAGCAATTCTCCTGCCTCAGCCTACCTAGTAGCTGGGATTACAGGCGCGCGCCACCACCCCTGGCTAATTTTTGTATTGATATTGAACACAACAGAATTAGGCATTAGAAAATACACTCACTCTACAAATGACGGTTTTTATATTTTGAAGAAATGACTAAGGGTGTGTGCTTAGAGTAGCTGAAATAGCTCAATTGGGAGAGCGTTAGACTGACCAGATCTTAAAGGTACCTGGTTCAACCCCGGGTTTCAGCCGGTATCTTTTGAGTTCTGCCTAATTATCACTCCCTTATACAACACTTGCACGCCAATCCCAGAAGCATACACATCTCCAATTTTTGGGATTTTTTGAAAGTCTGATAAAGGTAATGTACATGTTTGTATCACTTTCTCCTTTGTATGTTCCACTGAAGTATTCCATGAAGTGCTGTCATTACATAAATTATTTAAAGTTCTTGGAAGGAGTCTCGCTCTGTCACCCAGGCTGGAGTGCAACGGCACGATCTCGGCTCACTGCAACCTCTGCCTCCCGAGTTCAAGCTGTTCTCATGTCTCAGCCTCCCGAGTAAGCTGAGATTATAGGTCCCCGCAACCATGTCCGGCTAATTTTTGTATTTTTGGTAGAGACAAGGTTTCGCCGTGTTGGTCAGGCTGGGGTCGACTTCCTGACCTCAGGTGTTCCACCCGCCTCGGCCTCTCAAAATGCTGGGATTTCAGGCGTGAGCCACTGGGCCCGTCTTTATTTAAAGTCTTAAACTCAGGAAGTTATTAGTTTTAAAACCTAAGAAATTCCAACGTGCTATATGCTGCAGCATTTACAAGTCATTTTTGATTTTATATTATTTATATGTATTGGGCGGGGGATATTTTTAAATCACAAGAAATATGAAAAAAAAAGAAACGTACAGTGAAGTAACTATTATACTGTATGAGCATATATATGGGGGTGTGGTGTATGCAAGAAACATTTTGAAATTGGAAAACCCCAGGTTTGTATCTTGAGTCAACTCCATCTTTAAACTGCTGTCAGAAGAACTTTTTTCTTTCTTTCTCTTCCTTCCTTCCTTCCTTCCTTCCTTCCTTCCTTCCTTCCTTCCTTCCTTCCTTCCTTCCTCTTTCTCTTTCTTTCTTTCTTTCTTTCTTTCTTTCTTTCTTTCTTTCTTTCTTTCTTTCTTTCTTTCTTTCTTTCTTTCTTCTTCAGGCAGGGTCTCACTCTGTCATCCAGGCTGGAGTGCAGTTATACGATCAGAGCTCACTACAGCCTCAACCTCCCTAGGCTCAAGCAACTTCCCATATCAGCACCCTGAGTAGGCATCACCATGCCCAGCTCTTTTTTTTTTTTTTTTTTTTTTTTTTTTGTATTTTTTTGTAGAGACAGGGTTTCACCATGTTGCCCAGGCTGGTCTTGAAATCCTGGGTTTAAGCAATCCACCTGCCTAGGCCTCCCAAAGTGCTTGGATTACAGGTGGGAGCCATTGCACCAGGCCCAATTACAAGAACATTCCAAATTTTTTTGCTGGGAAGACATTTCTTCAGCCTGGAAACCTTGTCTAGAATTTCCAAATCTTAAGCTGTTTCCATGTTTGTATCCAGGAAAAAAGAAATATATGTATTTCTATATGAGTTATTCTATCGAACATTCATGAGGGGCCCTAGAATACTGAAATGAAAGCAAATGAGCAGCAAAGTCAAGACTTAGGTGCATGTGTCCCATTTTCCCTTTTTCACTTCAACTCCTCTCTTGAAATTCTGTGTTGGGATAATAGGTCTTTTTTTTTGGTCATTTTGATTTTTTTTTTCTTTCAAATTACTGCTTCCATTTCAGTGTTATTTTTCCCTAACTTCTGCATACCCTGTGAGGATACAATAATCTACAGTTCTCCATCATTACAACTGCAGCAAGTTGCAAAAGGAAAATTAGTACCAAATGAGAAGTAACCTCCGGGTAGGGACATCGACTGTACAGAAACTGGGAATCAGATACTTTATCCTTTAGGTCACTGAGACTTTCTCAGCTCAGAAGTTTGTATTTGATTTCATTAAGAAATACTTGACTAGACAAACAGTAACACTGAATGCCTTTGTGCCTAACGCAGTAAAGATTCCTTTACATTCTGTTGAAATGGAGGGCCTAGGGTAATTCCAAGCATGATTTGTCTACCATTCAATGGCTTAAAAATGAGGTTAATAATGGTTTTGTAAAATGGGATGTTGTAAAGATCAAAGGATATCATGAATAGAAATGCATTCTGTCAAGTCCACTCACGGCATGAAACTTAATTACTGGCAGATCATGCTCCATGTTCTCTGCCTCTGGGATTCTCCCAGAACAGCACCTAAATAGATAACATTATCTCTAGACAATTCTGTACAATCAAGAGATAATACGAGTCATAAATGACAGCCATTTTGTAGTGTTACCTTTTGCAGTAGTCACATTGAAAAAAAACAGTTAATATTTATATTTTTATATAATTTCAACTTTTATTTTTGATTTGGGGGTACATGTGAAGGTTTGTTACATGGGTATATGACACGATGCTGGGTAAATTGCATGAGGTTTTGAGGGCAATTGATCCCATCACCCAGGTATAGTACCCAAGAGGTAGCTTTTCAAGCCTTTCTGTCCTCCCTCCCACCCCTCCCCATAGTCCCCAGTGTTTGTTGTTGCTATCTTTTATGCCCAGTTTCAATAATATATTTAAATCACTTTGTATATCCAAAAACTTATTTTAAAACGCTATCAATTTTAAAATTATTAGTGAGATATTTTATATTTAAAAATAGTATTATGCATCTTTGAAATCTGGTGTATGTATACAAACATATATATATACATATATGTATTTTTTTTTTTTTTTTTTTTTGAGAAGGAGTCACCCAGGCTGGAGTGCAGTGGCGCGATCTTGGCTCACTGCAACCTCCACCTCCTGGGTTCAAGCAATTCTCCTGCCTC